GCCTCAATTGCTTTTAAGGTATCTGCTTTAGTTTCTCTGCGTTAAGGGCAACAAATGCTAACTAATTTTTTAGGTGTCTTACCTATCCTCATATCTCCCTTGTGTGCTCTCGCTTTATCATGTGATCAAAGTCCAATCCCCTTGTTGTGTTTGCCCTTGATCTAATGTCTGCATATGAGGGAGAACATATGATTTTTGGTCTTTGGGGCCAGGCTAACCTCACTCAGAATGATGTTCTCCAATTCCATCCATTTACCAGCGAATGATAACATTTCGTTCTTCTTCATGGCTGCATAAAATTCCATTGTGTACAGATATCACATTTTCTTAATCCATTCGTCAGTGGTGGGGCATCTTGGCTGTTTCCATAACTTGGCTATTGTGAATAGTGCCGCAATAAACATGGGTGTGCAGGTGCCTCTGGAGTAACCTGTGTCACAGTCTTTTGGGTATATCCCCAAGAGTGGTATTGCTGGATCAAATCCGTCATCCTCATCCTTAACTGCGCTAGCTCCCCTTGCCTGTCCAGAGAGGCCGTGGCGGGCAGAAGAGGCACAGGTGACCCCATCCATGTTGTCTCCATGGATGCATATATTGCGTTCTCCTTCAGCTATCTATGCTGTAACCTCTCGTTTCCCAAAAAAGAAATAAATATCCAAACTCATCTTTCACCAAAATGGAGTTCCACCATAAGAAAAACATTGCCCTAACTGTACAGGATCTGGAGGTAATGCTGCCTTGACCTTGAAATATGTCGAGAGGTCATGCATCTGGATGCTTCCCTGTCAAGACACAGAACATAGTTCTCCATAGAACTGACTGCCTGCGGGGCAAAATTGATAACTACACGATTTTTTGTTTTTTAAGACAGAAGCCTTTCTGGCATTGCTAACTTCAACATTAAGATTTTCAAAGGTGTTTTTTTTCCCCCTTATTTCAGGAGATATTTTGCATGAGGTATTTGAAATTCAGGAACACTTCAATTCTTCTTGAAGTGCAGGAAATAGATAAGTTCCTGCCCAACTTGGTTCTGGCAAGGGGAGAGAGGCTGTGGGGAGCACGCCCACCGGGTCCTGCTCGTGCTCCACGGTGGCAACACTCGTGCCCCCTGATTTTTTTTTTTTATTGTATTGCATGCACTTTTGTAAGCTACCTCAAATATTCTATGCAAGAATGAAGGGCATAAATAATGAAATAAATCAATGACATTTAACTGACCACATATCAGTCTAAAGACAATGAGAGTGTAGACCATGATTCCATCTATATAAGGTATAAAAATAGGCAAAATCCATGTGCAATGTTAGAGAGCAGAAGCTCTCACCTGTAATCCTAGCAGCTTGGGAGGCAGAGATCAGAAGGATCACAGTTCAAGACCAGCTCAGGCAAAAAGTTTGCAAGACCCCCATCTCAACAGAAAAAAAGCTAGGCCTGGTGGTACATACCTGACATCCCAGCTACAGCGGGAAACTAAAATAGAAGGATAATGGTTCAGGCCAACCCGGGAAAAAAGTGAAACACGATCTCCAAAATAACCAGAGCAAAAAAGGCTGCAGGTGTGGCTCAGGTGGTAGAGCGCCTGCCTAGAATACATGAGGCCCTGAGTACAAACCCCAGAACCACCAAAACCAAATTCTACTAGGATTTCTAAAGGCTAAAACCATGATTAAAAGGAAAGGTTTATTAGTAGAAGGAACAATGTCCAAATTCTAGCCATAAAGAATATCAGAAGGATTGGCTGAAATCAAATGGAAATTGAAGAATCACAGAGCTAATGAAATCAATGGCATCATAAAAACAGCAAGCATATAAACAATCTTGCACAACACCCTTCATGATGGTATTTCCTGGTGGTCTACCATGTGCTAGGCACAGTACACAATGGTGAAGCAGCCCACACAGCACACAAAGTCTCTTTTCTTATGAAGCTGACATTCTGGAGTGAGATACAGAGGGAGGAAGAGTCTATGGGCAGGGCAGATAGAAAGAGAGACAAGAAGACAGATAGAACAAGCCTTTCGCGAGGAGGGAATAGCTTAGGTAGATAATCAAAAGTGGGAAGCGTTTGGAATATTTGGAAAACTGGAAGACCTTTGTACCTGGAGCGCAGAGGACATCTCAGCAGATAATGTCCCAGTGGGCAGAGGAAAGATGAGCTGAGCGTGATGAGTTGTAAGCAGAGGACTGACGTGACATGATTTACATTTTTGACTACTTCATATGCAATAGATTTTATGAAGGAAGTAGGAGAAAATTGGGCAGTCAAGGAGAAACAGAAGGACAGCTTGCATTGGGTCACTAGTGGTGATTATGGAATGGTGGATGGAACCCAGTATGTCTGGATGCAGAGGCAGCAGACCTGCTAATGGATCAATGTGGAGGGGAGGAAAAGGGAAAAAATCAAGTATATCTCCCAGGTTGTGCCCTGAGTGGTCAACAGAACCTTTTAGTGAAATGGGGAAACTGGAATCCAGAAGGTTCAGGGTTGAGTTCAGGGACCAAAAGAGTTCTATTAGGGCCATGTTAAGGTGGGGTGAGAATTAGACACATGAAGGTGTCACATGGGTCATGGAATGAAACATTTAGGTCACTTCTTTAAGGTCAGACTCTTTGGATCACTGTCCTTTGGTTCCCTCTTGTCAAAACTGATTGGTGATGTGCCATCTCCTCTCCACATGCAAAACCACACGTGTACACGTTAGCCAAATGTCTCCAGAGCTCTCTTTCTATGGCAATAAGCCTACATCTTCTAGTCCCCAGGCTAAGTGAGTCATGATCTTTCATGACAGTGCTGTGTTGGCAGCAGTAGATCTTCATCCTCTCACATTCCCATTTCCAGGCAACAAGGAAGTGATGTCTACACCCTGCCAGCTTCCCAATGCCCCTCCAAGCCCAGCCTTAGGAGAGCTCTGTGATGTCAATGAAAAAAAATATCCTTTACCATAGCTCTGTATCTTGGTGGCTCTGCAAACTGAAATGAAGATAACTAACCAGAAGGTCTGCATCCCTTCTAATTCCCTAAATCCAAGCATCATCAGTTAGCAGCAACAAAGGTGTGTCTGTGTCCTCACATGTGACGATTTCATATTACTTGGCTATTCATAAAAATCATGATGAGCTTTTCATCGACTACCCTCTTTCCTACTAAATAATACACAGTTTTTTAAATTATCATATTATTGTTTTACTGGGGGTACGTTGTGACATTTACAAAAGAGCTTACAGTATAGCATAGTTGAATTTACCCCCTCCATCCTTCTCCTTTATCCCCCCTCCCTCAATTCCTGGAATAGTTTCAAGAGGTCTCAGTTTTCCATTTCGTACATGAGTACATATTATTTCCACCATATTCACTCTCCTACACCCTTTCCCTACATCCTCCCCTCTCCTACTACTACCAAACCCCAGACAGGACCTGATTTTCCTTCCTGTTCTCTGTTTCTGAAAAAAAGACATTTCGTTTGTTTAAGATAGCTATACAAGGAGTTTAGTGATGACATTTCCATGTGTATATGTATTATAACCCAAGTTAACACATGATTTTTTTTTCACATGATTTTTAATAGTAAATCAAACTTGGTAGTTTAGTGCCTGTCTACACTATATATTTGCACTGTTGAACAACTTCCTTCTTTGCTGAGATTCCTTTTGGCTTTTATTTCCCTTCTGCTCTGTTACAACAAGAATTGATTGTGCTTGCTTAGATTAGCTGAAGGCACCATTTTCCAAAGAACAGTTTTAAAGATATCCATCTGCCATAAAAATATTGAAGGTAGGTTTACTGGGGCTTTAAGTTCTAAAACCTTTAGAGGAACTGTATCACTCTTGGACCTTTTCCCTTCTAAATTGTTCTTCTAAGAGTCCCCAGAAGAGTTGAGTCAATATACTCTTGGTCTTCCTTCTTTTTAAATTCTTTCCATCTGTTTTCCAACTATGTTTCAGTTTCCTGTGTTAAACACTTCTGAGAAGAATCTGTGTCCACTAGGTCCAAAATGGGTTGTTGGAAGAAAAGAAAGCTTTATACAAAAACCCAGTGTCCTACATGAGAAAATAAACTTTTGTGGGGATTTCATGGCACCACACTTAATAGACAATTTCTAGTTTGAAAGGCACTATTTGGAAATAGTAAGCACCAATGATGGAGATGAAAGAGGGATTAGTAGCGTACAGTTACCTCTCAGTGTCTGTGGACTCTTGGGGATATCAAAATCTGTACGTAAAATAGGACAATAGTTGTATATAACCTACACAATCCTCCTGTACACTTCAAATTAGCTCTGATTACTTATAATGCCCAGAACTGTAGAAATGCTACATAAATAGCTGTCATACTGAATTGTTTAGGGAATAATGGCAAGAAAAAGTCTGTACATGTGCAATCCATATGGAATTTTAAAAAATATTTTCAATACAAGGTTGGTTAACTCATGGATGTGGACCTATGTGTAGGGAAAGCCAAATATTACTGATGACAGAGCACTCATGACCTCAGTGTTCAAACCAGGCTGAAGATGGAGTATGTTACAAGATGGGGGATAAAAGGAGGTACCGCTAGGAAAGACCTCCTCCAATGTCATCAAAATAAAAGGTGCATATTTTGTCATCTAAAGATTATTATATAAATAAAGCATATATACGCACCCAGGATTATTTCAAGGTAGGAGTGTGGAATTCAAATCCACACTCATGCTGTCGCGGTGTAAAATTCACCTCTGGAAGCTGTTGAAAGGCCAACCAACTCTCCAACAGAGGTGCAGCAGCTTATTTAATATTCCTGTCTAGTGAAACAAGCCCTTCATACCTGTTTTTAAAAGCATATTTTTAATATTCGCATAATGCTACTCTTTAACAAACTCTTTACTCCCTGCCTCTCTGATGAAGCTTCCTGGGGTCTTTTAAGGGATTGTTAACCAGGAATGGATCGCGCTCTCTCTACACGAGCAGGGTAAGAGCCACTCCATTACGCCTTCCAGTGTTTAGTAGAAAGAGCCATGGCTCACCTCTGAGGAGATGAGCTAGCTGCTCGGTGATGAGCTCCGGAGCCTCCTGCAGAAGCTCTTTCAGCACGAGAGAAGAGGAAGACTCTCGCAGCTCCACCTCAGCATCGTTCTGCTCAACGGGGTTAATGACTTTGACAACTGCTGATTCCAAAGTTTTGTCCTCACTGTAAAGCAAATGGAGAAGAGGAAGAGAAAGAGCTAGGGCTTGCTTTTTCAGTTTTTGGAATGACTTAGTCTTCGCTCACCCACAAATAATGACTTCCTCTCAACAGCCAAAAACATGAGTAAACTACATGACCTTAAAGAGTCTGTTTTGTTTGTTTTGTTTTTTGGCAGTACTGGGGTTTGAACTTGGGACCTTACACTTGCAAGGCAGATGCTCTACCACTTGAGCCACCCCTGCAGCCCAAAGAGTTGGAACTTATTCTATGTCTGTTCATATTTCATTTCAACTAATTACCTACCTAAGATTCTTAGAATATTTTCACTCCATAGCAACTGTATCTCTTATTTTGCTGTTGGGAAGTAATAATAGCTAACACTTCTGGAACTTCTATACATGCCAGACACTAACACATTTGGTGTGTTATAGTTCATTCTATAAAAATGACCCTATGAGATGGGATCTGGTAAAATCCCCACTTTACAAATGAGGAAAGTGTAGCACAAAGAGATTAAGAAATGTGTTTAAGCCGGGCACCAGTGGCTCACGCCTGTAATCCTAGCTACTCAGGAGACAAAGATCAGGAGGTTTGCAGTTCAAAGCCAGCTTAGGCAAATAGTTCAAGACACTCTATCTTGAAAAAACCCTTCACAAAAAAAAGCTGGTGGAGTGGCTCAAGGTGAAGACCCTGAGTTCAAACTCCATTACTGCAAAAAAAAAAAGGAAAGAAAGAAATGTGTTTAAGCCAGGTGCAGTGGCTCAAGACAATAATCTTAGTTACTTGGGAGGTAGAGATCAGGAGGATCACTGTTTGAGGCCATCCTGGGCAAAAAGTTCATAAGACTCCATCTCAGCCAATGGCTGGATGTAGTTGTTCATGCCTATCATCCCAGTTATGCAGGAAAGCATAAATAGGAAGATCATGGTCCAGGACAGCCAGGGCCTAAGCAAGACCCTGTCTCAAAAAGAAAAAAAAAAAATACAAAAGGGCTGGTGGTGTGGCTCAGGTGGTAGAGCACCTGGCTAGGAAGCATGAGGCCCTGAGTTCAACTCCCAGTATAGCCCAAAAAAGAAAAACTGGTTCAAGATCACAAGACTAGTAAGCAGACTAGCTAGTAATTAAACTCTGAGAATCTGGCTCCAAAACTTGCACACTCTGCCACTGTGGTGTATAAAAAAGTGACACTGGGTCTGTTTCCAATATCGTTTTATATGTGAGATAGAGGTGGATTTTTATCAAAAACAGGAAGAAAAGTATGGAAAAATAACCTTATTCTTTCTGACTGTCAAAAACAAGTAAGATAAAAGAAATTAAAAATCTCATTTTTTTAAAAAGCATTCTATTTCAAAAAACAATCCCCAAATCCCAAGATTACAACTGTGTCCCACAGTTAGCATAACTTTTTCCATTTTAATTGGCAACAAAACTCTTCCTCCATTTTTGATTAACACACATACATTCCATGATACCTCCTTTGGCTTTTTGTATTGTTTTACCCATGTCTACCTGCATGAGTTGGTTTCAAAAAGTTAACACATCAATCTAGCAAGTATGTGATTATCCTGATACCCATCCTATAGTTTGGGAGTAATTTGAGCTTCCCTTAAAGGCACATACGTAAATTTAGGCTTGGTCCCCAGGGTGGAGGTATTGGGAGGTGCTGTGAACCTTTAAGAGGTGGGGCCTAGTAGGAGGTCTTTAAGTCATTGGACGGTGCCCTCACAGGTAACTGTGGGACCCTGGTCTTTTAGTCTCTCTGCTCTTGACTTGAGATGTGACCATTTTGCTCTTACACTTGCTAACGTGCCACCTCACCACAGGCCCAAACTGAAGGGCTTGAACCTCTCTGCTTTGTGTCTGGTGTTTTATTATCGTGACAGAAAGCTGACAAAAACAACAGATAACCACAGTCACTCAAAGAAACCACCAATAATTTCCAGCCACTTGTCAATGATTGATAAAAATTGTTCAAAAGAATTTTATTTCTTTCAAATATGACAGGGATAAAAGGAGCCCTGCCTAGGCAGATTGTTTTCAAAACCCTTTACAATTAAATGAATTGTATGATGGATAACATAATATGTTCATACCTAAGTATATTTACTAAAAGGTTTGATTGAAAATTATTCAGTAAGGACTGGGGGCATGGTTCAAGTGGTAGAGCACCTGCCTATCAAGTACAAGGCACTGAATTCAATCCCCAGTACCACCAAAAAAGAATTACCAAATTAAAAGTTATTGGGTGGCTTAGGGGATGGCTCAAGTGGTAGAGTGCCTGCCTAGCCAGAGCAAGGCCCTGAGTTCAAACTCCAGTACCAAAAAAAGTTTTGTTTCATGAATATTAGCATCAATGTTCACTGCTGAAGGTCCTCAATTAGCAAACTGACAAAACTGTACAAAACACAAACATCTCAGGCTATGAAGGCATTTAACTGGGGTCTCTTCATTCAGTAGCAGTGGAGAGCTTATCATAAGGGCATCTCTGTAAGTCATTGCACACAGAGAATTTGTCTTATTACTCTTAGGTACCTTTAAATTCTTGCGCCAATTAGCAACTCTTAAGTCCTTATTGAAGGAGGCAGAAGGTCCAAGTTCTAATCTGAACTTTTTATTAATTTATGTGATACCTTTGGATAAGCCATTTATGATACTGGGTGTTAGGTTTCCTGTCCATAAGATAAGTTTGAACTAAGACATTGCACTTTTAAAACTCTGCCCTTCTTTTATAATATAATATGAACAAACCAATGATCAAATGACTTTTGTGGCCCATCTCCATGCATTTTTTCCGTTTCACTGCTGAGACTTCTTTTATATTTTAACCTATTTTTATTATATAAAATAAATTGGACATATTTTTTAAGTTGCCATTTTTTTCTCTCCATTCACCAGATTTGGAAAGCAAGTAGTTAGAAAAGTGTTCTAGCTTTGACAAGTCATGGCAACTTCAGATTATGCCAAGAAAGATATTTTCCATCTGAAAATCTGTGTATGTAGTGTTCATTTAGAATTTAAATGTTTACTTATACAGGTTGTTGAGACATAATGGACTTTTATGATTTTGTACATTCTTGGAATTTATTTTCAGACACTTTTACAAATCCTAAATGAATGGGGGAGATGGTTTTAAATTATAATTTTGGTCAATTTTATAAGAACTTTCCATCCAAAGATGACATACCAAGTAAAAACAGAATTGGCCTAGCCCAACTTTTGTCATAAAAGAAAGAAAAAGAATTCCTTCTAAATACCCTCTGTTGTTGTTTGTTTGCTTGGTGGTGCTGGAGTTTGAACTTAGGGCCTCACGTTTGATAGGCAGGCACTCTACCACTTGAGCCACTCTACCAGCCCAGTGCCCTCTGTTTTTAATATATCTCTTTAAACCACAACAATCCTGAGCAAGGTAAAATTGCCCAGAAGAACATTCATGAAGCAACCAAACCTCCAGAGCCTCACAACAAGTCTTACCTTGCCAGGGTGTTGCTACCAATGAGTGTTATAGACAATTTGCCCTCGACATTCAGCTGATGCAGATTGATTTCATCTCGGAATATGTGGAACGAGTCAGAGATATTCAGCTCTTCTAAGATAAACCTTGTCTCGGTGAAATAGTTGAAGTCAGTTCTTGGGATATTTAGCACTGGTAAACAGAGAACTCCAGGTGGACTGACCTACCAAAAGAAAAGGTGACTGAATTGCTGAAAACAGAGGGAGGGAAGATAGAACTACAACTTCTCCAGCCTGAGGGAAATCCGAGAAGGGACTATCTGCACTAAGCCACTTGACATCCATACCCACATTTGTCTAGAACCCAAGTAGTATCTCATTAGCCACTGTAAGTGGCCCAGTGATCTCAAACTTGTTACTCTACTTGAACTTCTCAAATCTTGCTTGAAATATTTTAAGTCTTATTTCAATGCTTCCACAATTTAAAACACACACACACACACACACACACATTTTTCTGTTCAGGGTAACAAACTTGTGTGTCTTTATGGAATAATAAGAGAATTTGAATAACGGAGGCAGGTCAGGTGGGGACTGGAGTGACCCAGAAAGGCATTTATACCCCATCTAAATGGGACTCTTTCCACTTACTCCAGCCAATTGTTCTCAGGCAGAAATCCAAGCCTACTGTACTCAAACCTTTCACTTATCCAAGAACATCTGGAAATCTAGATTTTGAGGTGTTATCTGCAACATGGAATTTTTATGATTAAGTTTTAAAAATACAAAAAACACTGTGTATGCCAAATCACTTAAGAGCCAGATTTGGTTGTCTCTTTTCTATCATTAAGAAGACAGGACTTTTAGACAGTTTTGTTCAGTTATGTTTTCCAGCCCCTGAACCATCTGGCACAACAAACATTTAATAAATATCTGTTGAATAAAATAAAGGTGTCAGCCCCTGTTCTAGTACACAATGCTGTCCCACCAGGGTGGTTTCTCTCTCACCTGGCATGCTAATACTAACTCGTGAGTACACAAGAATCATTTGTGATTCATGTGTGTACTGATTACTTTGTATAGTTGATGGAATGTTATGTCTAACTCCTGATATTGAAGCAGAAAAGAATCAATGCATGAGTCAAGAGCAGATGGGTACTACGATACAAGTTGGATCAGAACGAGGTTCTAGCCCAGCCTTGCCGTGTGACTGGAGAAAGTCATTTTCTTCTCAGAGCCTTGACTTTCCCTATCTGTGGAATGGGGCTCACCTACCAGAGTGAGAAGGATTTAAATGCGATCACATATGGGACACTGCAAAGCCCTGTTCTTATCCTATGTGTTAATGCTCTCAGAAAAGTAGCCAGGTCCTCAGGAAAATTGAAATGGATGCACAGATCACTAGAAGGGGGTCAGGGGTCAGAAACTAAGACAAAGGCGGAGAAATACAAGAAAATTCCCAGTGTGTGACTTCAGTAGTGTCATGTTTGTTTCTATACTTAGTGGTGAGACTTCAAAGGAGAGGAGACTCCATTGGTCTTTTTATATTGTCTATATTTATCTATCAATCTTTTATCTCTCATAATTTTTTCCACCCCTTTTGTTAGATATCATATATTCATTTGATATATTATAGCTGGTGGTGTGGTGGTATATTAATTTTCTTAAAAGTACATATGCCACAGGAAATCAATGTGAGTCAATGCCCTGTATAGCTATCCTTATCTTAACCAGCAAAAACCCTTGTTCCTTCCTATTATTGCTTATACTATCTCTACAACAAAATTAGAAATAAGGGCAAAATAGTTTCTGCTGGGTATTGAGGGGTGGGGGGAGAGGGAGGGGGCGGAGTGGGTGGTAAGGGAGGGGGTGGGGGCAGGGGGGAGAAATGACCCAAGCCTTGTATGCATATATGAATAATAAAAGAAAAAAAAAGTACATATGCCACTATCAGTCTAAAAATCAATCTGGTTCACTCAACTCTATGTTCTCTGGAAAACAGCATTTTTCTTGGTGTCAAAAACACTGGTTAATAAGGTAGTGTTTAATATATGTGTTTTGATTTGGGTACATTTATCTCCTCATACTAATTATTCTCTCTTGTAAAGTTCCACCAATTTTAAGATAAATTTGATAGAAAGCCCACATGTCGAGATCAGAATATTTTCCCCATCATTTTTGTCAGCTGCTGCCCTAAAGCAATGCTTGCCACCCACTGTTTATTCTGGAAGAATGGGTTTCATGTGAATTTAAATCACTCTAGATCAGCTAGGCGTACTATCAAGGGATCCAGATTCAAACAAAATTGGACTAAAACAAAACAGACTCTGAAAAATTAAAAATTGTGTGAAATTTTTGAAAATAGCACCCAAACATTTGTAATATACATGTTTTAGACTTCAAGGCAGGAAAGTCCATCGTCATGGGCTTATGGATCTCATGGAAGGGAAATTTAAAAGTGATTTATTGAAAGGTATTTTCCATTTTGGTGAGTATGTCTGTGCTTCATAGAGTAGAAAGATTCTCCCTCAAGGGAGATTATCACTGAGAATGACGTTGGTGTGCGAAATCAGGGCAAAAGTGCAAAATTGAACAAGAACTTATGGAACAGTCTGGCACATTGAACATGTATAAATATTTGAACATAGACTTGACAAGTCATACTCTGTCTCTGAAAATTCTAGCCACTATACTCTGTGCTTTGTGTAATGTTCTTACAAATTATTCTGCACATAGTTTTCTACTCCCAAAGGTAAGGTCGCACAACAGAATGATAAAAGAAAATCAGAAATTCTGATCCTTACTTTTGTCAGTTTTCTGAATTCTCACAAAGGGAATCAACTATTATAAACACTTTAATGTTTTATTTGAAAACATTAAGTTTATTGAAACCACGTTTTATGAAGAGAGTCAGTAAGGAATACTAGAACAATGCTTAACATATAGTAGGTGCTCATACATATTCATTGATTAATAGATTACTATACTTTATTCTCTGTGACAATAAATCAGAACATGGAAATCAAGCTAATAACCTCCTTTCCCTAGAAAATGTTTGTTTTTAGAAGCACATAAGAACTCAAGTATAAACAATATAATGCTTTTTCCTCTCACCTTGTCTAGAAAGTAAGCATAGGTCAAGGCAGAAATGAGAGAATCCAAGTCACATGAGTTAGGTCCGATAACCACGTGGACCTTCTCCAAGCGTTTGCTTCGATCCTGAAACAAATGCAAATAAAACATCAGATCAATAGAAAGAGGGAAATTTTGATCTTTTAAAGTATGCCTTATCCATATTCATACCCAGTGATAGAAAAATCTTAAATTTATCATGAAGTTTTACATGAGACTATAAACACTGCATAATGCATAAACATCCCAAAATGTTCATTCAAACCAACAAATTGTCAAGAACAGAAAATAAATTGTCAAGAAACAACTTCCTTGGAACTGTATCTCTGAGTCATAACTATTTTTTAGGAAAAAAGCATTTGTCCTGAAGCTTGGTTGCATAGAATTCTTTTACCGTTCCCTTACATAAAATGTGCCTCTTAATTTAAGAAACAAAGTTACTTTTTCTGTATATCCTTCACATAAAGTGTAATAAAGTAAACACAATTTGGTAAGGATTTATTTTGTCGTGGCACATTTCGGGTGGTAAGATTTACTCTCTCTGCATTATATTCTATTATTTAGTAAATGGAACTCATAATATTTTCATCGCTCAGAAAAAAAAGGAGCATGATTTTATTAGTAGAATTGGTTGAAAATACAAATTACAGTAATTTCTCTTTAAAAAATAGATATAGTCATCTCTCTATAAGTGAACACACACTGCCTTTTTCAATAGTTACTTAAAATTCCTTTATAGAAGGCTGACATCCTTTTGAAACTTCCAAAGAACCAATTGCTTCTAGAAAATTCCATATCAAAACTGCCCAATACAGATAATTTTAACATAAATTAATACGTTTCCCTTGCTTTTCTTCATTTGTTTTAACCTCTCCGTTGAAGCCTGACTAGAATGCCAACTTACTTGTAATACTGTTCCAAAGGGCTTATAAAAGGCTAGACTGCTCATGACTGTCTTAACAGAAAAACCTTACTATTGTTTTATGTCCAGAACAAAGAGAAAGCATTACCTAATAACTTACTATGTATTTTACAAATGAGCCTAAAAATTTGTTCATATTTTATGGACTTGCTAGTATCAGAGATAGAAACAAATTCTTTTTAAAAACTAGAGCCCAAGGAACAAAACAAAGCAACTCTTGAAGGAGGCTGGGTTAGAGCCTATCAGAGTCAAGGGGAGCAGGATCAGTGGTGCAGGTGAGTCATCCTGTATGTCATACTATAAATTCAAATTAACTCACAGTTTTTAAAAAATATTGAGATATCAATTCTTAGTAAAACATGATTTAAAGTGTGCCATACACTCTGGAGATAATTAGGGTCCTCCTTCCCTCATTACCACCAAATCTAGCTCCCATGCCTTCCTTTCCCAGCTTCCATTTCAAATCTCTTAAATGTAGATCTGGTTCACATGAGAAATCATTCATTGAGGGTTCCAGCCTTGGAGGCCCCTCTCAAAGTCAGGACACTCAGATAGATATCCTATGAGCACCTAAAGAAATTTAGGTAAATGGAATTACACTCCATTACAACACAAATGAATGCATTAGAAAATCACATTACTGTAAATACTGTTCTTCTGAGAAGCTCAAAGGTTTAAGTAGACATTACCTCATTTCTCCTCCCAAATCTTGTGAGACAGACAGTAAGAAGATCAACAACACATTTTATAGGTCAGAGGAATCTGTGATGGGCCAGAGCTGTTTCCAGAATCTATGGTTGAAAGCAGTGAGCCCAGATTCTTCTGCCCTGCGTAACCCCTCAATGCCACAATAGCTGTAATGACTTCGGTGTCCTTACAAGGACTGAGCATGGGAATTGAGGGAGAGAAGAGAGTGCTAAATATGCCTGCTAAAGACATCCAGGGTTTAGACTTGTGTAGCATCAAAATTACTGGCCTATTTACTTTCTTTTCTAGAATTCTTCATTCCCAGACATAGCTCTGCATTTAACCTTCAACCTACACAAAAGAAGATGTGGAACATTTGTGCATTGATTCATATAAGCCAACTCATTGTTTTTTTAAAAGAAGAAAAGAGCTAAATGAGAATCATGAACTCAATGCATGCCACACCTCTTCTCACAACTGCAATAATTATGATCCATTCCTCCCGGTGCAAATCATCTTATAGGTCAGAGCCATACACACCAGTACAAAACATTGAGAATTCTCTGGGTGCCACATGCCTCTCTTCTGATTGGTATTCTTCCCACACATCAAGTTCTTTCCTAGTCATGGTCTCTTCCAATGCCATTTACCCACATCTGCCAACCCCAGTCCATGCTTCAGCTCCCAGGCTCCAACACTCTCTTCCTCCCCCACCACTTCCATCAAAATGTGCCATCTTCATGCCCAGACACTCTCCTATCTGCCTCTCAGCTGGCAAGTCCAGCAGAGAATATATGCCAATGCAAATCCCTGGCTTAATGCATAACCCACCAAGATGTGGCATCAGGAAACATGCCACAATCCAAAATCATGACAGGAACTTTCATTCTGGCCAAGAATGCTGGACCACACAGAAAGGACATCACCAGAAGATACAATTGCTGCCTGCTAGTGTGTCTTAAAAGTGACAGACACAAACTCAAAGCATCTTGGATACTTGTAAGTTCCCAATTCCTGCCAGTAACCACCAACACAATCAAGATGGAGGGCAGTTGAAAGGTGAGTACTATGGATACTGTGCTCAGACAGACTCTGGCCTGTCTAGAGTTAAAAAAAAAATGGAACTAGTTGTGTACCCTGTATGTGAGTTGAAGGCATGAGAGCTCACCTCACAGGAGGCTGAGCACTTGAGGGTACAGGGCCCCTCTCCAGCTGTTTTCACCACAAACAAATGACCTTGGCACTGCAAGCAAAGAAAACACAAGAGTAAAACCAGGGCAGAAAAGACTGGGAGCTGATTTCAGGACTCAGGGACAGGTCATAGGAGGTTCTGTGGAACTGGTCCACTCTGCATCAATGTCCCCACCTGTGAGGTCAGCAATGAAGCTGGTTCACTGAACCCAGAAGAGATTTCTGACCCCAACATTCCTCTGTACCTGTCACAGCAGGTCTGTAGACCCCTTCCTGTTCTACCTTTCTATGTACCCAAAGACTCACTGATGTTCAATCTTTTTTTTTCAGAGAGTTTTAAATTTTAATCTATTAGTATCTGGGAAGGTGGAGAGAGATTGCTAGAAATATTTATATGGCTACTCCCTGACCACCAAGACTTAAAGGTCTTCTGTAATGGGAATGAAATTACATCATTTGAGAAAAATGGTAGAGATCGTCATGTTGAACCAGAAAAGCCAAGTTCAGAAAGACAAATGTCACTTGTTTTCTTTTATAAGCAGCATCTAGACCTTCTTGGATGAGGGGAATTTCTGGTCCTTGGTTTCTGGATAAATGGGGCTGCTTCTGGATAACTGATACCACCTAATGCCAGTTTCTCCAGCAGCTATGACTGCCTTCTGAAAGTCAGTCCTCAGTCCCTTCAGGCAGTCCCAGTTATCTGCAAGATGCAACATCTCAAGTCCAGCTTTGGTTACATTACCACCTCTGCTAATCATATCCTCCTGTTTTCATTCTGCTCCTCCAGCGTCTGCCAATGTTCAATCTTAATATTGATGGCTCTTAAACAGTTCAAAATGGGTTCTGGATTATTCACAGACAAATCATGCCCAAGTCAAAGTGACACATGTGCAATTTTATCCATTCAATGCATTACCATCATTCCACCTGTAGAAACCTGCTTGTGCCAGGCATGTTCTAAGCCCCAGGAATAAAGCAATGAGCCAAATGAATAAAAATCCCAGCCCTGTGGCACTTCAAATTTAGTGCATGGGAACTGTTCATACAAATAATCAGACAATGACAAATGGAAAAGAAGAAATGCTGAAAAGGGAGTAGGGAGCCAGGGTGAGCGTCATTGAGAAAGAGATGTTTGAGTAAAGACCTGAAGTTAGGGAGTAGAACCTAAGGCTATCTCAGGATAGCAAGTGCAAAGCCCTTGAGGTAAGAAAGTGTTCAACATATTCAAAACTAATTATCACCTAGTGCATACATCTCTAAACATGACCTTGTAAAGTCAGCAAATGAATAGCTCTGCTAAGTAAACACTCCTTCTTTACATAAGCACAACAAGTAGTAAGGAATTTCAGAAGACAAAAGACTTATTATTAATGCCTAAAACCAGTGCTGTTCAAGCCCTCAACAGTGATAATCGGATGAAATAGATGCCACCTAGAAACAGTTCCAAACACATTGTCAGAATTTCGGCATTGTCAATATAAGAAAACATATTGAGCATGTCAGTCTTCCGGATCACAGTCTTAATATGCTGTCCCAGTGAAATCCTCTGTACTGACAAAATGAGACTTCTTACTGAAGTTTCTTCTTACTGGCTGTGGAGCCAGTACATCACCTTGGTCCTTTTGCAAAGGGCCCAGCACTGTGCCTACTTGAATCTTCACTTCTTCCTAGCTCTTTTTAAAGCCAGCAAGTGCCTACACATTCAGACTCAGCTGCCCATTAAAGGAAGCTGCATTTGTTAGGCAAAAGCACTTCAAACCCACCTACAGAAGACAGAAGGATATCACAATGAGGGCTTTCAGGGCTCCACAGTGAGCTTACACCAGTGTTTTCATCATTCCACTCTCTCACAAAGTTGTCTTCCCTTTAACTTTCCACATCTAAAGTCCTGTAGTAAATTTTTCCATCAAAAAGCTTCTGCAATATCGTCAGACTATGATTTCTCAATATGCCTCCCTTTTCTTAAAAATTCTATGAACATTTTTTCTCAAAAATACTTCATTGAAATTAGTTTTGTTTCAAAAATATTGCAGTCAAAATTCACACACTAAAGCACAGCATATGTCTTAGTCCTTCCTGCCAAATCACCAAGTAAAGCAATAAGAGAAAAAGAAGTCTCTAGGGTTAATAGGATGTTATTTCCAAAGAAAGTGAAGCTTATAGGAGGGGCTTTGAGCTACTTCCCTTTGACTAACTCCAAGTCCACGAGAGCTCACTGTTCCAGAAATCTGGCTGTGGGGTGGAACAGAGGGCTCAGTGCCTCCGCAGGAGACATTCTGCATCTATGGCTGCCACCACTGTGTCAGAAGACGCAGAGTGAGCA